AGATGATGGAGAGGATGAAACAAGCTCGAGCGGCTCAGCAGGCGCAGGAGGGAGAGAAAAAGGAGAAGGAGATGACACCTGAGATGATGGCGGGGTTAGAAAAGGCTAAAACCACCAAGGAGGCCCGGGGGAAGAAGACCAGTGTAGAGGACAGTCAGATGACGCCGGAGATGATGGAGAGAATGAAGAGAGCTCGAGCGGCTAAAGAGGCGCAGGAAGGAGAAGGTAAAGGGAAAGAGATGACGCCGGAGATGATGGAGAAGATGAGGAGAGCTCGAGCGGCCAAAGAGGCGCAGGAAGGAGAAGGTCAGGGGAAAGAGATGACACCGGAGATGATAGAGAAGATGAAGAGAGTACAAGCAGCGAAGGAAGCTCAAGGGACAGGGGGAAGTGGGGAGAACAGAGAAATGACACCGGAGATGTTGGAGAAGATGAAGCGAGCTCGAGCGGCTAGAGAGTCGCAGGCAGGAGAAGGTGAAGAGAAAGAGATGACGCCGGAGATGATGGAGAAGATGAAGAGGGCTCGAGCAGCAAAAGAAGCCCAAATGACAGATGTGAGTGGGGAGAAAAGGGAAATGACACCGGAGATGTTGGAGAAGATGAAGCGAGCTCGAGCGGCTAGAGAGTCGCAGGCAGGAGAAGGTCAGGGGAAAGAGATGACACCGGAGATGTTGGAGAAGATGAAGAGAGCTCGAGCAGCGAAAGAAGCCCAAGGGACAGGGACAAATGGGAAGAACAGAGACATGACACCAGAGATGATGGAGAAAATGAAAAGATACAGAGCTGCAAAAGAGGCTCAAGGGAAAGAAGTCAATGGGGACAAACGAGAGATGACACCGGAGATGATCGAAAAGCTTAAACGTGCTCAACGAGAAAGGAACGAAGGGAATGAGAGAGGTGAGATGACACCTGATATGATCGAAAATCTCAAACGTGCTCAGCGAGAAAGAAATGAAGGGAATGAGAGAGGTGAGATGACACCTGATATGATCGAAAAACTCAAAAGGGCGCAACGTAAAGGCGAATTGACACCTGAAATGATAGAAAAACTCAAACGTACTAGAACTCGATCAACCCAATCTGGTCAAGGAACAACTAAAGAACAACTCACTCCTGATATCATTGATAAAATCAAACGTTCTCAAGCTACCCGAGTGAGATCTCCAAATAGAATTGATGAACGTCGAACAGGAGTGAAAAGTGGGAGAGAAAGACAGGATGATGAGGTGAGAGGAAAAGAAATTAAAAAACCTAACTTAAAAGAAATGACAGAAGAAGAAAGGGAAGATTATTTGATTGCTTATAAAGCTGCGAAAGAAAAGAAGAAAATAGAGTTACAAAGACTTGAAAAAGTTAAAAAAGGACAAGGTAGTAGTGGTTTAAGTCATGAGGAAAAAGAAATTTTATCTCCTATTTGACCACTCCCATTGACCACTCCCATTGACCACCACTACTACTACTACTACTACTACTGTACTAATTCTCAGTGATCATCTATGATTTCACTTATTGTTATTTCTTTTTCTTACCTTCTCCTACATATCATGACTGTCACGAATGACTATTGAAAGTCAATCCGTCCATTCTTACCCCATGCCTCCTTCCAGTCGTCTTGCGTGACCCACGAAATTTGACCATCTTAGAAGAATACACTCGACGGCCTTGTTAAAGAAGAATGAGTTAACCCATTAATGCATAATATGATATGGGGACACTATATACAACATAAACCCACCAATACTGTAAAGTGTGAAATGCTATGCAATGAGAATAGATGGAAACACATGACACTGATGATTCTGACAATTTGGGTTTACTTGAATTTCTAACCATCAATTATGCCCCTAACTCACCCACCCACCCACCCGCTCACTCACTCTCACATGTAATCACAATGCTTGGAGAAAAGACTGCAACATACGAATATGTATCTGTCCGAAGGTTTTTATTCGGGATGATTATAGATCGACAATATTGATAATGAGGAAGAATAAGAAGAATAAGAAGGATAAGAAGGATAAGAAGTAGAGGGATAGCAGCAGCAGCAGCAGCAGTAGTAGTAGAAGAAGAAGACAACACTCACTTTCTTCTTCTTAACAAACAACACATCTTCATCTTTCCTCACAGGGACAGGTGGAGGTGGACCCAAATGTCTGATCGCACTAGGTGCAGCCGGCATGAAACTTTTATTTTCCAATCCAACATCGATGGATTGTCTTCCATTTGTGGCGTTCCCCATAATATCTTGAGGAGCCTTATGAGCTCTGGGCGGTTTGACAACGGGTCTTGAAGGTGGTATTAGTGTTGGATGTATAGACATATCACCATTGGTAGTGATCGTTTTGGACTTTTTCTCCTTTTCTGGCGAAACCATTTCAGATGATGGTTTCCTCTTTGGTTGGGTGTTGGCTAGTACTTTAGGAGGAAGGAGATCAACTGGTGGTGTTGGTGTTGGTGCTGATGCTGGTGCTGGTGCTGAAGTGATAGATTTAGTAGGTTTTGGTTTGGGAGTAACTGTTTTAATTGGGGTGGGTTTGGTGAATAAGGTAGGTTTGTACTGTCATTTCAGCTTTGTCTCTTCACATGATCACACTTTATACAAGTCCTATTGAGACGCACACGATAACGATCGACCCTCAGGAAAGAGGCACAAGGGAAGAGAAGGGGATAGAAGGGAGTATGGTAAGAAAAATAGAAGGAAGAGGAGTGAGAAGTAAACTTGGAGTAAACGTCAAATCAGAACTCACTTCCAAAAAGAATCCCCGTTCCCTCGCATCCCCAACAATAACCTTCCATCTCTCATCACTCCTCTCTAAAGTTGAACCATTTCCAACAATCCATAAACTACTTTTCGCCCTAGTCAAAGCCACGTTCATCCTTCTTTCATCCCTCAAAAAACCAATAGTCCTCAAATTCGGTCCACTCCTAACACAAGATAAAATGATGATATCTTTTTCCTGTCCTTGAAAACCATCAACAGTATTAAACTCTATCATTTCCATTATAGAACCTCCAAAAGCTTGTAGAAATTGTCTTTTGATTTCGTACATTTGTTCTCTATACATTGTAATGATACCAACTCGTAATGCTAAATTCGTTCTATCTCCAAAATCTTCTTCCAAGTGTTTATAAATGTTAACGGCGGCGATTGCCTCTTCTGGATTTTTAGTAGATGTTCCTGCTTTTATTTCTGAACCTTCTATATTAAAAAATCGATAGGGACCATAATTCTTGTTTTCATGCCATACAGCTTTGGTATTACGTTCCATATTCGGTCCATCTTTCAAAGCACCATGATAAAACACTTTGGAAGGAAGTCGTGAGATATCTGGGTGCATACGATATTGTATACTTAGTAAATGAACGTTTGATCGATTTTCACGAGCTAAACGGACGAAAAGAGATTCGTTATATGCGTATTTTTCTCCATCGGGATTTAGTGTTGTAGGTGGTAATTGTTGAGGGTCACCGACCATTATACATCTTGTACAACCATATTTCAATGGTATCAAACATGACAATTCGATAGCTTGAGCAGCTTCATCAATGATGACAGTTTCGAATGTGTAAGCTGATAGAGTTTCGTGACCCGCTCCTGCTAATGTGGCACAAATGACATCTGCTTCTTTGAGAACGATTTCTCTAGCTTGTCGACGTGTGGCATCGAGATGTCTAGTAGCGTCTCTAGCCGCATCTTTGGCTTTGGAAGTTTGTTGACCTAACTGAGTACGTCTGGTGACTAAAGATTGATATTCGTCTTCCAATTGTCGACGTCTTTCGTCATTGTCCTTTGCCAAACGGATCTTATCTTGTTGTTCACGTATGAGACGTTTGACATTTTCCAACTCTGCTTGAATCTTGCCATATTCTCCACCGCCCCCTTTCGAAGAAGGGTCTGCGTTGACCCTGGCTTCTACCAAACTGTCCAGGGATACATCCTTTACGGCAATGTTGACAGATGTCTCGATTCCAATTCGAACGATGGTTGGGTTCAGTCGACTTCCATCAGAACTGGGGACACCATTCATGAGTCTCTTGCAGACTTCGTCAATGGCAGCATTACTCGGAGCGCAGACGAGAAGTTTAGGTTTGACAGGTTTCTCTCCATGACCCATGGCTATGGGTATAGATCGTTCTGACATGAACTTGCCAACCAAACCACTGATTGTTTTGGTCTTACCCGTACCTGGTGGACTGCACGTCAGTTGACCACGCTTGTTCATTTAGATTGACTCACCCCTGAATCAGAGCAAACCCATTGACTTGCATGGCACCCAGGATGGCCTTGGCTTGTGGTTCATTGACATCGTATGAACGCATTGCTCTGTCCACCTCTCTGGATGAGAGAGGAGGCATGGTAGCTCCCTTGGCAGCGAGTATGTCCCGCAATAATGGTTTCTCGTAATAAGGCAGACCTTTCAGAGCGGCAAACTCCCTGACAGCGGTACTCAATCTCACAGTATCAGCGGAGCGTCACACTCACCCACACAGTCACTTACGAAGTATGTTTTTTCAATTCCCACCTCGACTTCGCTCCTAATTCCCTTTGATCCATAGAAGTCAAGATTCTCACTTTCAAGGCGGTATCTTTGAACTTGCGTCGGAACCCTTGTACTTTGGCAAACAATGTTCTGGCTCCAGGTTGTTGCAACAGGACGATATCCGTCTCATTCACAAAGAAATCAGGTTGTATGTTCCCCTGTACGACCAGTTCCATATCCAAGAAATCATCCTCGTAGGCCCTACTAGAAATCTCTACCATTATACCCATCCCATGAGCGGTGTTATCTTTGCCGTTGACAAACTGAGCCCACAGTTCTTCCAGAAACAAAGGAAGCATGATCTGCTCGTATCGTTTGGCATCTGGGAAGGTGGTCGGGACACGAAGTAATTGCATGAACTCTTGTGCCACTTTCGGAGGATGCGGAGGATGCGGTCCAATATGGGTAGGATCCCATGCCAGGACATAGCGATACAAAGAATTGAGATCGGGACGGAGACGTTGTTTGATAGCATGGGCGCGTGCACGTTTCTCTTCGTGTTCCCGGACGGCGTTCGAAATTGGGATACCGAGGACTTTGATTTGACGTTTCTCGGCGGCGAGTGCTATTTTGGCAGGAGACTTTTGTTTCTTCATGAGGGCATCAACCCCTCTGCTCTCCTCGTCAGAGGTGTCAGAAGCGCTGGATCCTGAATCTGCTGGTTGGACAGGTCGTCGTTGACCGGTGTAGGCTCCTAAACCGCTACCGAACGCACCAGCTACGGGAACCTTCGTGGGTAAACCCCCAATGGGGCGTGGCACGTTAGCACGCATTTGATCGAACTTGTGTTCTCGTCGGGCTTCTTGCATGAGCTTGGATTTAAAACCACCACCAGCGGGCTTTTTCTGATACATTCCGGGTCGAACGTCTATATTGAGCTTTTGAGCCGCCTGGATGGATGCCTTCGGTGGCACAGTGGATTTTGGTGGTTGAGGGACTTGTGTTTTCGCTATCCGAGCACGTTTTTCCAGAATATCCAGATCAGAGGCAGGAAGTTTCTGCAGGAAATCGTCATCGTCGTACTCGTCTTCCTTCCCATTCACGGGATCGCTCTTAGTGGACCGTGAATGAGAGCTCGAGCCGTTGGAAGCTGCTTTCATCATCTTGACAAACGCGTTTGTTTTCTTGGCGGCTGGTGCATCCTTTTTAACCGGTGCCGATGAGGGATCGTGCGAGGGTTTTGTGTCCTCTTCCCGAGTGACGGCCTTGACGAACTGTACATCATCTTCCAGTGAGATGTCGAATCCAGACACAAGCTCTGAAAGTTCAGAAAGAAGATCATCGGAGAGCTTGGAAGGGTATGAAGTCCCCGCTCGTCGACAAAATTTGTCCAGCTCCTTCAGCGTCTTCTCCAATTCGACGGTGATAGGAGTGGACGACCGCGACAACCGACCAAGGATGGTTTTGATCAGCTCGAAAGTCTGATGTAACGTTTCAATGCTGAGATTATCAGCCGTATGTCACATAAGAGGAGTGAATAGACTCACTCGGTCAGCCGAAGCCAATGCAATAGCTCATTTAACACTTTCGAGAGTTGCTCAATCATCTTTCGTCCGGTCGAGGAGAGCTTCACGGGCGATTCCGATGGACTCTGTACATCGAAGCGAGAATCACTTTGACCAAGAGCAGCAGATTCGAATACTCTCACATGTTCCGTCATATGTCGACCAAAGATGAGAGCATCTCGCATCCAATCCACCATGATAGAATTTTCGTAGAAATCAGCCCAACCCTGAGTTCGATTGAAAATGACGGCTAGTGATTCAGTCATTTGGTGCCATAGGTCTGCAATCCTTTTTGTCATTGGTCGATTTGAGGTGAAGTCTGCGAGGAAAGATGGAGTTTGTAAGAGAGCTTCGGAAGATTCGGAGGCTCGGCATAGAACATCGAGAATGTCGGTGAAGCAACGTACGAGCCATTTAGCAAGAGAGCATGATTCAGGGGTGAGATTCGCAGTCTTGATGAAGGTCGAGAGGAAAGTGCAAAGACCTTCCATGGCCTCACCGGGATGTTCTCGCAGAAGGACACGAAAACAGTCTCCTCGATCGTCGACATCTTCGTATACTTGCTGTAATAAACTGATGACAGGGTCGTGAAGTTCTTCGGCCGGGGCAAGCAATATGATTACGCTCGCCTTAGGAACACCGGCGATCTTCCAGAGGTCTCGCAAGAGAGTTGCATCAGGTTGACGAGCAAGAGAGTCCAAAGCGCGGCCGAAATATTCCCGCATTGAAGATATTGATGTATTGATCGCTCGCACACTGGAAACCCAATCCTCGGCTTTGATAACCTCACCTAGGCTATCAGGACTCCACGGGCCGGTTCGATCGAGTTTCTCGAGGTGGGCCGTCATCGCTATTGATTTTAAGATGATTGCCGTACCCTCAAGATCAGTTGGCATGAGCGCATTATAAGCCATGGACCAGAGTTCTTTATACGTCGAAGCGCGGTGAAGGTTCTGCACCGGTATCGGTGGATCGACGGCAGCTTTCAGTTTACGCTTTCGAGCTAGACGCTTCCTCTCATGGAAAGAGATGGCCGCTAATCCGAGCATACTTTCTACAACATCTCGTCCATCGGCGGTGAAGTAGTCGAGAAGTAAAGCCCGAGCCGCATGACGGGCATCATCCCAATCTGGCGAAGGATGATCAGGTAAACGCAGGGCCACTGTAGCGATAAAGGTGGCATGAATGTCGAGAGTGGATGACAGAGGAGAGGCGATGTGGTCATCAGTTGCGACTGCTGTTCGTAATCTGACCAGTGCCTGATTATCAGCGGAGCCATGCTGAGATGGGCTCCCACTCACCCTGCAACCACACTCTGCGGCAGCGGCACGCAGGGAGGGAGGATATCTAGTGTGCTGCATCTCGGAGAAGCAGAAGTTCATGGCCTTTGCTAGACTTTCGCCAAATCCCGTGTTACTGGACTTGCCCGAGGCGGTCTTGGCATCCCTCAGAGACAGGAGGAAATCTTCGATCCAAGTGAGAGAGCGACATGTCGTCGTCCCCTTCCCCTTCCCATGATGCTCATTTGTTTCGGCGGGCGACGAGGGACAGGAATTTTCCAGAGATGTACGAAATGAGGGATTATTCTTGATCTCGGAGAAGAGGGTGTGAGGGAGTTCGGGGGATACATCAAATGACCATATATGATGTGTGGGCGATATATGGAGTAGGACCTGGAATGTCGCATGGACAAGATCGGACGCTACAACGTCAGCAGGAAAAGATTTCTGATAAGCTGTGCGTACCTGATGTCTGACTTCCCAATAATGTGCTCAAGACGGACATGATCGGTTTCCCAACTTTTGCATCGGCTCTGACAGAGGTGTGCCCTTTGAGTAAGCCTTTCTGCACGGTCTCTAACGTAAGACAGCCAGAGTCGAGTAGCCGATGTAATGCTGACCATCTGATAGTCGCACTGTCAAACCTGTTGTCGAGATAAAGCTCCTGTACCTTTGATCCGATCCCATTTTCACACCATTCGGCGAAACTTAATGGTCGACGTGCACATGATGGGAGCTGATTCAATGCCCATGATCTTTGAGCAGGATCGTCCACCGAGAGAAGATGTACGACGACGGGTGTGAGACCAAATTTTGAGACGGCCGGATTACTCGGAGCGGAGGCGATGGCGGCGGAGAAGAGTAAAGAAAGTGATACCAGTTCGGGTGTTGTAGATGTTGGTTTAGATACTAAGCTTGGTTCACTGCACAGAAGCTGAACGATAGAATCATCCACGTCGAAGAGGGTTATCGACACTGTCGAAGTGCTTCCATAGCCAGGAGCGGATGCTTTGTTGTATTCAGAAAGGATAAGTGATGCTTGCCATAGGTCGACCTTTTGAAAGAAATTCTCCTTGGTCTGAGCATTGAACATTGCCAGATACCTATACATGAGTACAGAGCTCAGCTACGATTAGATGTAGGACTCACTTGGAAGCAAAACGTCGTCTAGCAGCACCGAATGCCCTGGCGCAGACAGGACAACCCAACAAGACGTGCTCGAGCTCATCGATCCATGTCTTTGGCATACCCTCAGCCTTGTAGGCAAAGAGGAAGATGAGATATGTAGCTGCATCTCTGATGAGAGGGGAAGATGTCTTTGGGCAGTACCAATGGGCGGTGGTAGAAGAGGTAGCGGCTTGAGAGGGGACTGATGGGAGCAGGTACGAGTAGAGGGGGTACAAGGTGGCGTCTGTGGGCTTTGAAGAAGCGGCCACTTTACTGAGCACAGCTTCTATCTCTTTGTCAGAGGGTGGAGCTGTGCCCATAGCGCCTTGCAACGCTTGATACGATATGCCTCGCTGGCCTGAAACTGTACGAGAAGTAGTAGACGGATGGCGAGACTAAGTAACAAGGGAGAGGGGTGAACATGATACATGATCGCGAGCGAAAGTTGGTCACGTGACCTGTTTCTCGCGATGAGCTGCTCTCTATCCTCTGTCATCAATGTCTCTCATCCTCACAACTACTCTTCTCTCTCTACTATCACTCGGTCATCCATCGACATGCACAGCAATCTTTGGTGAGCACAGAGCCTCGGCTGTCCATAGAAACTCGTTTTTCTCATCCAAAGGTGACCTCAAACTACCTATGCCCTCTAGCCCTATCTTTCCCTTCAACTCCTCTGTTTACTTGCGATCGAATTGACCTACATAACAGCAGCGGTTTTTATGACATTTGACATGTTCATTTGACGCAACAAGCTATTTCACGTTTGAAATTTGACTCTCAAGCTGTTCTAACTCATTTCACATTGATGACCCTCTTTCGTTCATACGAGATACGTTTTACTCATCTGTGCAAATCAGCCTAGAGCGTCTTGGCAATCTGCCGTGGTATCAACATCGTATCTCATCTCAACACTTCAAAAGACTTTGGTGAGTGCAATCATTCCCCACTCGTTCTTTCTTTCGTATTTTTCACGCTTCTTTCTGTTCTTCCAATCTTCAAAAAACAGCCGTTCTGTATCTTGTTGAACCCTCCTTTCTTTTTATTTTCTGAACTATCCCCATCAAGAATTTTCACAATGCTACCCCGCACAGTTCTATTTGGCGTCCTCGTCGCCCTCGTTCAAGCCGCTCCCGTACCCAAGACGGATGCCCAACTGAACGCAAGATTCTATCACAACACCCCAGCACACGATGGCGTAGAGTGCTACCGTGATGGTCACAGGGGTATTATCGAAGGTACCATTTGTGTTCTCGTAGGTCATTTCAGATGTCGCTATAGATGCTGACCTCATTAGGGTGACTTGAAGGTAGAGACGAGAGGTGTCACCTATGAGCCCTTCTTGCGTGAAAATCATCCTTGTTGGCTGCAAACCGAAAAAGGATTGATCATCAATAATGCTTGTGTCACAACCAATATCGATACCACAACACTGAATGCGGCGGACTGGGAACAAGACGACACGCCTTGTTGGACCGATCATCACATTGGATTGCTGCTCAATGGCGAATGTCATCTGGTAAGTCGTTTTTCCTTGACTCGCCACGGAGCCACAGAGATATGAGAGTAGTAACGACTGATCGTGTTCAGATCACCCACGTGGATGCGGACACTGGAATCAAACTCAAAAGGAAATCGCAACTCTTACCTGACCTCATCGATCAGCTTAACAAGATGACCGTATGCTTGAATTCTTACGAGAGCTTGCCATAACTCACAAATCAGGGTTTCATCACGAGAAGCCGCAAACCCAAGTATCCTTCGGAGCAGGGTTTCCACAATTTACACGGCCCCGTTGGCGCAGCTGGCTATAAGCGAAGCCCAGTCACCTATGTGAGAACCATATCATTCCTCAAATGAGCATTGCTGACTTTCAGGACAACGTTCAGCGCAAGGAGTATATCAGGGGACGTGGTCTCATTGGGAGCACCAAGTACAATGATATCTTCGCTGATGCCACCGTGAGCACTGTAAGACACTTCCATACTATATGCTGAGTGCTAGGCAATCGTCAAGTTTGACAAAGCTTCGCAACATGACGGAGTCGTTGGTGACTTGGTGGTGCGTCGCCCTCTTTCTGTCACTCCCAGATCACTGAGTCGCAGAAGATCGCTCGCAGAAGTCATGCCGACGATTTATTGGCCGATACCAGAGTGAGTGGCCGAATATATCAAACGGACTATACTGATTTTCACAGACCATTGTGCATCTGCATGATGACCAGCATCCAGATTTGGTTGACCTCAACGAGGCTGTGGGTATCAGTGAAGGCTCGTTATCATTACAGCTGACCCAGACAGACCCTCGTCGACGTGAAGAATGGACACGTACTCAATCAACGCAGTTTGCTGGGTCTCGGAGGTGACCGATATCATCAAGAAGGGGCGGTGATCGATCTCGCTGTCCGTAATGGCTTTATTTCGTCATCACAATTGCTGATAACTTCAGGCAATGGCCGATGTCAAGAACCGTCAGAAGAAGGGGCTTCTGGGCATCAGACGTGACCTTTTTGGTCTGGGCTCCACTAGCGACGAACATGATGGTCTTGTGGCTGATGTTTTTGTGAGTGCTCAGTACGTAAACATCTGCTCGTCTGACTCAATAGGGTCATGTTGATTTCGGTGAAGGCTCTCATCACGAGTTGCTTGGTGGTGACTCCCACTCGGGTGCATTTGACGATGACCACTCTCGACTTGATGTCCTCGCCGAGGTCGATGTGCGTAATTCCCTCCCGTTCATGACATCAAGCTGATACCCTCAGGCTGCAGCTCACCTGTCATCTGGCACTGATCACCACGGTCTCCTGGGACTTGGCTCGAACGATGGCCATGATGGAGTTGTGGCTCATGCAACTGTCAGTACCACCGAATTGTGCTACGATGGCGCTGATGACAGGCTCTGGTGAATCTGGGGGATGATCGTTCCGACGGCGACTCACTCAACCACGGTCTGAATCTGCTTGGCTCCGATACCAACGTTGATCATCATCACGGCGTCACTGCCACAGCAGGAGTGAGTGTTACCTAGAAATTGGAATGGTCCATTTAACATCAGATCCTGGCCAAGTTAGGTGGCGACAGCTCTCACAATGGCCTCCTCGGTCTCAAGAGATCTCTTCTAGGTTTGGGGGACACTGGTGATGCCAACAATGACGTTATGGCCAAACTCGCAGTAAGTCTTGCCCCCTTTCACAATACCCGTCTGATTGTCAGGCGTTCATCAACCTCGACCGATCTTATGGTGGATTTCTGGGCGATAGACGATCAACCTTGGGCCTCGGCAACGCCAATGATGATGATGATAGTATTGTCGCAAAGGTGACAGTGAGTAGCTTCGTCACTGGTCGACCCAGCTGATTATCAGGCTCTTGTTGATCTCGATCATGATCACTCTCACTCAAGTGTTTTTGGTCTGAAGCGGTCCCTGTTGGGACTCGGTGATAAGCATACTAATGATGACATCGTGGCGGATTTGATGGTAGGCTGCTTCATTTGATATACGTACATATTTTGACAATACAGGCCACTGAAAAAAAAAAAGGTGACGGGCATGACAACAAGCTTCTGGGCTTAAGATCCTCGTTCTCTGGCAGAGATGACTCGGTCAGTGTCCTTGCCGTGACTCGTATAGTATTTTGGAGAGACTCGGCTGAATATCAGACCGACGTGGGTACCGACACTAACGTCGATGAAGAGAATTCAGATTTCCACATGTTCCCCACTTATCCTGATCACACTCTTCTCGACCGAGACTTGTCTCTAAACCACGTCGATGCCGATGTGAAAGCGACCGTAACGTCCAGCAAAACCTTTCTCGGTTTAGGCAAAGTCATTCGTGACCTCTTCTCGTACCCTACTGCCGACGTAAATTCCAAGCTACTTCATCCTCACAAAGCCGACAATGTCGATGCTCATGTGAAGATCGCTAGAGATCTGGGTTCTATCACTCGACTTGCAGAACAAATCGAAAAATCGACTGAAAACACTGTTCATCAGAGTGGAAACCCCCTTACTAGAGACATCCATCTCAATCATGTCGACACTACATCCCACATCAATGGGAAAGTAAACGCCGACGTGAATGCCAAAGTGGACAAGACGACAAAAGTTGATACTCATGTGAATTTACGACTCCCTCGTGAATTCGGTACTACGGACCACACGGTTGATCTGAAAGATATCGATGAAGTGAAATTAAAGACGAATGCTATGACGTATCCCGAGTTCAAAAGTAAGATTGTCGAGTACAATCACCACGGTTTGGGAAAAAGGAATATTTTGGCAATTTCTTCTACGGAACATCATGGTTTATTGACTACCGATGGATATCATAGGATCGAAGGTCAAGGAGGACATAAGATTGAAGGTCTTGATGGACACAAAGTTGTAGGAGAGAAACATGGTCATGGTAAGGAAGTACACGTGAGCTTCATCTTCATTTGATAAAGATACAAGCTGATGATTCAGGTGTAAAGAGACAAAAGAGACGAGAGAGATATGTTAGTATGATGGATTAACACCTTGACACAAACATACGATAGAGAGAAGAGAGAGATATGCGAGTATGGCTTTGATAGTCGTATAGAACGATGACCAATAGTAGTGAGACAAGTTTGTGGAATATACACAACCATGCAGCTAGTTAGTTCCTACTCGACAGAAACACCCTCGCGGTGATTGTGATCATTCAGGTTTCTTAGACGCTGCTTGCTCTCTCTGAACACGCCCTGTCCTGGTTATGCAGCAATCCTTATCGAGGGATACGTTTCAAAGCTGAAAGACGGGTAACCTGAGGATGTAAATCAGTCGCGTCCAAACTACCATCCTCACGCTATCCTCTATCACTTGATCGTTACATCTCTTCATTCCATCATCAATCAACGTTCAGAAAAATGAATCAAGTAATGAATCAATTAGCTCAAGAGCTCATCACTACCATCTCCTCAGCTTCCTCAGGATCGTCAGGATCAATATCAGACCGTACAGCCGAACGTATCGTGAGACGGTCGATGAATGGAGGAGCCAAGAAAGCATGGTATGAAATCCATGATTCTCTCAATAGGTATGTTCAGTAACGTCCTTCTCTTCATCTCTCAGTTGTACTATCTATCATCTATCATTTCCTCACTTTCTTCTCTCTCTGTACATTCCTTCATCATCTCCATCTCACTCGCTTTTCTCTTCCTCAATTACATAAGTTACCAGAAGACACCTTTCATCCTTCTTCGTCTTGATAAGATTTTATACACCTCGTTCAAAGACATAAGCAGCCAAGCTGCATATCTATTTCAATTATATTTGCCTGACTGTGATTCCGAGAGAAAGCCATTGGATCGACTGACATTTCAGTCTTATTCGGACTACTCAAATTCGGGTGGAGCTGGACTTATCGGACGCACTGATTAAATCTCTGTCAGTATTGGATTCTCATCGTAAGAGAGAGATGGGTTTCGGAGATGATTTACCTATCAAAGTGAGTCATCTTCCTCTACCATTCACAGCCTTCGCCTCACACTCACACGACAAATAAATAACATCATACCTGTACGAAGATCGTTCAAGAAGATCAGAGATTTGAGCTTGGTGATGAATCGCTGCGATATGACATTCGCTTCAGCCTTGCAATCTCTTTGAGGTTTCTAATGCCCCTTCATTATATGTGATTTGGTAAAGAGTATGATCGCTTTACTTTGCATCTCATGACATTACCGGTGAAGTCAGGATTAGAATGATTGGGACTGATTTTCAGATGTCAAACCTTCCTCAACATATCCAATTCTTACTCAATCTCGCATCCCTACCAACAAAACAAACACATGAATTCGCTCATTCTTATTTACACCGTACAAATGACACTGGACCGTCACCTGATGAAATGCTTTATCAGGAGATCATGTCGGAACCCTTTGACGATCCGTATGGCGGAGTGGAGGAAGAAGAGATACCTGGATGGACGGATAGCGAGAGTGAAACAGAAGAGGAATTTGAAGAATCTGGAGAAGAGGAGATTATTCTCACTCCTCAAAGTACAATACAAAGTGGGAAGCTTGTATGTCAGGAGAGGCAAGAAGAGTCAGAGAAGAGGATGAGAGAAGCCAAACGGAGATTAGAGGAACTCAAGGTGAGTGCGTATTGGGAGAGAGGGGGGAAAGAAATTAAGTTGTTGGAAGATGGGATATATGGATGGAGAGATTTGACAACTCGTAAGAATTTTAATCCGTCGTCATGAAATGTAGGAATAGACAGTCGCTGATTCATTGAAAGGAATTGATATAGTATCCCTCACCGCAACGGTTGAAGACGGAATAACGAAAGCTGTAACTTGTCGTCAGTTTCAGAGAGAACTACTCTACGGTTTATCTGGTAGACCTGGAATCTTCTACACGTTCTCTGATGACGGACATTGCAATGTGAGGTCTTCTGCCAATTAGAATGCTTGTATGGCTGATCAGACTAGATCTCGGATGACCATCCTCAAGTCACTACATTCTCATCTGTTGGACTAAGAAGTATATTGAAATCTTTCCAGAGTCGATTCACCGATCTAGCCACTATTCGAGCGTTTGTCAAAACCACTCCACTACCTCCTTCATCATCCGTATCGACCTCACATAAGACTCATAAACACATTTCTGCCAATTCCACTAAGACAATACAAGCTTTTACCGATTCATGTCGACGTATCGTACAAGGTATCGATCTCTGGATTGCGGAACAAGAACGTTTATTCATTCTAGGATGTTCTACACCACTCTCGACCTCACCTCTTCAGCTCAAATTCCAATTCGAATCTGATTTCAGTGGAATTGTCGATTATCTACTCTTATTCCTTCCTTATATTCATTCACCAATTTTACTCCTCAATACCATACATTCAGTCATAGAAACCATTCGTATCCTCCCTCATCCGAAAGGACTCTCAGAGTTGAGTTCTACCTTCGTAGAGACCGCTAAACCGATGTGGGAAATGTTAGGTGATTGGCTTCGACAAGGAATGCCCGTATCTCTTTCTCTTCTTCCTTCATCAGAAGAAGACTTATCGACAGATCTTGAGACTCGTGAGTTAGACCCGGAATTCTTCATCAAAAGAGATAGAGATGTTTCCTGGATTGATGAAGATTTCTGGGAAAGTGGATATATCATTTCTGAATGGCCTACATGGCTATCACATGAAAATACACAAGAAATGATATTGGAAGCAGGTAAAGCTCGAGGGTTGTTGAAGTGTTTACAGACGGATGTGGCAGAATGGAATGTCTGGAAACCTCTTTCTGAAGTGTTGGGAATAAGTGAAATCGGGAAATCGGGAATGAGATCTAGTGTGGAGGAGATATTGGAGCAGGAATTGAAGACGGATTGTTTGATTGCGACTTTTCAGTTGCGTAGAGTTTTAGATGAGGAATGTGGGTTGAAAGAGCACTTGGAAGCGATAGAGGGTGTGGTGTTTATGAGAGCTATTGGGGTAATGCAAGAATGGAGTGAATGGTTATTTGATCAAGTGAGTTTTCTACCTTTCTCTTTCGTTCATATAAGTCAATCTTTGAAATCTCCCATTTGACTTTTGTCCCAATAGTTTTTACCTTCTGGTGCTCTGAACCCTGGTTGCTTGGACTCAACAATGGTTGACTCCACTTCATCTCTTTTTCCGCCTACTACGTGCTTGCTTGACAAAATACTTCGTGCTTGACAAAACGGCTTCTTGTGTCTCTTGATATACGCACGCGGTGAAGATAAGCCCCTTGCAAAGCAAATTGGTCATAAGGCTGATTTCAGATTCACTCAAAAAAGAAATGGTCAGATTCTCAAACCCTCACTTCTACTTTAAGAGAAACTTTGAAGCATTCTTCCGGTGGAGGGAATTGGCTCAATCCTGCTGCTATTCGAATACATCTCTCTGGTCGACTTGAAGGTGTCGTAGCTCCTAGTGTTTTGTCAGGTTTGAGGATCACTTATGAGGTGAGTTCAAGTTTGTCCTCCTTCCGTCCCCCTTCTACACCATATTACACATACACACACTCTCACTCACTCACTCACTCACTCACTCACTCACTCACTCACTCACTCACTCACACACACTCTCTCTCTCTCTCTCTCTCTCTCTCTCTCTCTCTCTCTCTCTCTCTCTCTCTCTCTCTCTCTCTCTCTCTCTCTCTCTCTCTCTCTCTCTCTCTCTCTCTCTCTCTCTCTCTCTCTCTCTCTCTCTCTCTCTCTCTCTCTCTCTCTCTCTCTCTCTCTCTCTCTCTCTCTCTCTCCGTGCATACCCCTCTCCTATGACCTTTACACGTTCCAACCAATTTCAAGGCTCCCTTCGTCCCTCCAGCCGAGGAAGTATAATCAATCTCGAATATTTTGACGAGTTTATCTTGAGAACCTGAAGCGAGGAATCTATCATTTGGGGGGATATCAAGAGAATTGATATCTTTTTGGTGGATCCTCACGTGGCCAGACTTTTAGGTTTGTCATCATCTCCTGGGGAGGAAGAGAGGAGAGATCCCACAGTTTAGCTGTCGGTCTTGTGAGGCTGTGATGAGAACTTCAGGAATCCAGTTGTTCGCCAACTGTCGAGAAGGACACAGCTCCTATGGAGTCTGCGTGACCTTCGCAAGAGGTATACATCTCCCTCTGATTGAAGGAGGGTGAAGAATAGGAGAGGAAGGGGGTGAATACCA